GGTATGTTACGCATGTTCCAACGAAAACTTTGCCCTCCATTTTTAAATCTGTAGAAAATGAGTTTTTAGAAATTCTATTTTGAAAAGTCATATTTTGAAATCAAATGTACTTTCGTCATATTTACTCATAGCAGCTGTAGGTACCTTCTACTTGACAAATGTTGAACAAAAATAAAATATGTTTTTCCCGAGGTTTTCCTTTAAAAAAATCTGTGTTAGTAAGACGAAGTAAGTTACGATTATCCTTAATATAGAGGGAAGCAACTAGAACGGTTGATAGGATTTTATTTTTCAACATTGTGCTTTTTGGAAAAATAAAAAATTTTTGCTAACTTGCCTTATCAACCATTCTCAGCAGGTGTGGTTACGTTTTCGTTAGCAAAATTAGATCAACGAATAAATACACCTTCAGCCTTCAGCTTCAGGAAATAAAAAATAATCAGTAATGGTTAGATCTAGATAGAATATGATGAAATTAAACTTAAAACTTTGTGTGGAAAAGTGCCGCCAAAAGACAAGATATTTAAAAGTTTTTTCTTTTGTCATTCTATGAACAACATTTCTAAACTCTCCTCGTTTAACACAACGTAAGTAGTAATAATAATAAGTATGATATCTTATATTTCCATGGAAGGTAGGAAAGTAAAACAATAAACTCCTACTGACTAATCATAGAGTTTTAGAGGTTATAATTTATGACAATTTTTTTGTGAAATTGAGAACAATTTATTATTGTCTATTTTCTCATGAATTTATTATTTATTGTATAATTTTAATATTTTCTCCATTTATTCGAGTATTTTCTTACTGATGGAAAAAAATTAAAATTAATGCTTGTTAGAAAATGTTGGAATAAGAATAATTTAACAGAAAACCAAACAACATAAACAACAGAAATAACATACAATTTGCACTGATAAGTCATGTCAGCTTGTTCGCTAAATGAAAACTTCCCGGCCATTCTTAAAACACTCGGCAAACAATTACTAAAGTTAAATGACTTTTTTACTGATCGTCAAGTTTGACGCTTAAATTCAAAGCTTTTGAATTTTCGATGATTTTAAATAACACAACTACAATACGTATTATTAGTTATTCGTGTTTTTATTTTGAAAACTAACACCAGTAAGAAAAATTTTAGAATTAAATTCTCCATAAATAAAGTAATAATTTTTTAAGTTCCCCAACGGGTTAAGAAATTCTGTCACGTTTTAATGGTGCATCATCCCTTATCGACAATCACACCTGTACCAAATTTGGTTTTTCTAAGTTCAAGTATAACTGAGATATTGATTTTTTTTCGAAATTAGGAACCCCACTTTCAAGTTTTGTTTGTAGGCTTCCGGCAGTAGCAGAGCATAGAGCAGGCACGGGACACAGAGTGGATCTGAATGAAGCCAACATGGTGGTGAGAGAGAGAAGATTTAGGCCCCGACTATACAGAGAAGCATTGGAAATTTACAAAAATCCGAACAATTTCAACAGGGATGGTGGCGTGGATCTGCCAGGTATATGGAAGAGAGTCATCCGTGAGAGCAACCCACTGGAACGTCAACAACGCGTAGGAGATCATCCACCGGAACGTCATGGAACAGTGACCACATCAAATATAAATAGTAACAAGATTAGTAGATTTCCAGCTTCAGAGTAACTTCTGAAGAAGAGAGCGATATGTCTCTCGAAACGTCAAGAGTTGTAAATTGACGACGTAGCAACCAGCCCGGAAATCATTCAACCCACTTTCAAGGCCTATAACTTCTCAGGGGTGCAGCTTAGTATAAAGGTAAGTTGCGTTAAATCACCATATTTTGGGTTCCCCTACATACCCCTGCCCTGTGTGGGTTCTTATGCGAAACACCCGTATTTATTTACTTTCCAAAGATATAAAATTAAGTGTACAAAATTAATAAAAAACTGGTACAATATAAACTACAGCATGTATAGTTGCTTAAAAATATGAGTTAATGTTGTGAGTACCTTGAAGTAGACTTAATTAAAATCAGATCGAAGAAATTTAAGCTGAGAAAAGTGTTAGCGTCAAGCAAAATCTTACACTGTTTTTATTAGTGGATTTTAAGGTGGAGCAAATTATTATTTCTTATGGGAGATTGTTATACAGGGTTATCCAAAAGTCCCGATACAGCAGAAAAACTTTCGATGAAAGCATTTTGGGAAAAAATGTTTCAGACAAAAGTGTAAGGATTTTTCCCTGGCTATCTGATGGTGACCTTGGATTTGACCTTTGAGTTTGATTATGGTCATATTCGTACAATTGTTTTTCCGTTCTTCCTAACTTATCAAAAAAATAATAGTTAATGTAAATAAATTAACCTAACTTTGACATGATCTTGAGGGTCATTGTCAAAGTCGTAGTCAAGGTCGTGCTTGAAGGTTAAATTTCAGCTGTTTCCAAATCCGTAATAAAAAATAGGGGTACCAATGAAAAAACATCTTTGAGCTTGGAATGACCTTGAAGGTCATTGTCAAAGTCATGGTCAAAACCATCATTAGAGGTAAAATTTCCTGTTCTTTCCAAATCCGCAATAAAAAATAGGGGTTTCCATTTAAAAAACTTAACTTGACATTCAAATGACCTTGAAGGTCAAAGTGAAGGTCAAATCCAAGGTCACTATCAGATAGCCAGGGAAAAATCCTTACACTTTTGTCTGAAACATTTTTTCCCAAAATGCTTTCTTCAAAAGTTTTTCTGCCGTACCGGGACTTTTGGATAACCCTATATACAGGGTGTAACGGATGCTGATGGCCAAACTTCAGGGGGTTATTATACAAGTAATTTTCAACAAAAAAGTATTATAAGATTTTTTTGGAAAGTTAATAGTTGCTCTTTTATTTAACATTTTTTGATTTCAAAATATTTTGTGACTTTTTTCATAAAAACATAAATATCTCTATTATTCGTACAGCCATATCATATTTAGACGTACCATCGGAAAGAACGTTAAATTTACTACAAGGTGAGGATATATGAGTTTAAAAAAATCTTCTATACCAGGTGCTGTAAAAAGTTAATTGTAATAATTGTGAAATGAGCAAAATTAGTGGTATCTCCTTATTGGTGGTAACGCCAAAAATTTGTTAATGAGGACGTGTTTTTTCTTCAGCAAAAACTACTTTATTTAGTAAGCTTTTCAACGATATACGAGTATCAACTTGTGAGTTTGCTATTTTTTTTTGGCAACAATATCAAGGGCAGAGGTAGTAAAACCGTAAAAATCGAAAATGCACAAACTTTATAGTACTTTATTTTTATTTTAAGTCTGTTCGTATTACTACATGCGTGTATTTATTGTGGGAGTTTGTTCAAAAAGCTGTTTTTTTAAAATCTCCGTTTTTCTCCTATAATCCGAAATATTGTTACAAACGTGTTAAATAGATAAATGCCAAGGCGGCTGTGAAAAACAATATTGACACAACTGTCGAAAGTCATAAAATTACTTTAGTGTTCTTGTTGATTACTTATGTATCTAAATTGAGGATGCCACGTTTTTCCACAAATACCGAGTATCGAGATATTTTATTTGTGTATGGTGTTTGCAATGGAAATTCTAGAGCAGCAGTTGCAGAATATTCTCGCCGCTATCCTGAAAGACGCATTCCAAACAGAAAAACTTTTGTAACTACATTAATGGTTTTGGGAGAAACAGGGAGTGTTGCAGGACATCATCATTTAAATGCCGATCGAGTAAATCGTCATCAAGACCAAATTATAACAGCGCTTTTTGAAGAAACTCCCACATTAAAAGTACGGGCAGGGCAGCAATACAACTTGGGAGAATTTCGCATACGTCATTTCACAGAAGTCTCAGAAGGAACAACCTTCACCCTTATCATTAAAAATTATTAAGTCATTGTAAATATGTTACCAAGTTATAAATAATTTTTTCAACAATTTTGTTACTTTAATTTAAAAAACAGTCTTAAAATAAAAATCAAGTAAGTACTATAAAGTTTGTGTATTTTCGATTTTTACGGTTTTATTACCTTTGCCCTTGATATTGTTGCCAAAAAAAAATAGCAAATTTAATATATCGTTGAAAAGCTTACTAAATACAGTAGTTTTTGCTGAAGAAAAAACACGTCCTCATTAACAAATATTTGGCGTTACCACCAATAAGGAGATACCACTAATTTTGCTCATTTCACAATTATTACATTTAACTTTTTACAGCACCTGGTATAGAAGATTTTTTAAACACTCATATATGCTCATCTTGTAGTAAATTTAACACTCTTTCCGACGGTATGTTTAAATTTGTTGTGGCTGTAAGAATAACAGAGATATTTTTGTTTTTATGAAAAAAGGCACAAAATTTTTTGAAATCAAATAATGTTAAATAAAAGAGCAACTATCAACTTTCCAAAAAAATCTTATACTACTTTTTTGTTGAAAATTACTTGTATAATAACCCCCTGAAGTTTGGTCATCAGCATCCGTTACACCCTGTATACTAATTCCATTATATAGAACACCTTTTCTATTTTTAGTGTATGTACATAAAATAAAGTGTGATCAGTCTCATGTTATATCCAGTTTCATGTTCATAATAATTATCTAATTGTAAGAGCGTTCTCATCATATTTGTACTTTTATAATCCATTATTTTGTAAATATGTGAGTTGGTTACAGTTAATATTTTTAATTCACGCATATATCAACAACAAGAGTCCATAGCTATATCCGAACTGCTCTTTCTTGCCTAACTAATATTAACTATGTATATTCGTAAAACGTATCCAGTATCCAGTAAAATTTATTTCTAAATATTCGCTACCCCAAATATCTTCCATTACTTCTCCATGTCCCATTTAAAATACATTCCGCAACTATCTTAAAGGGCTAATATCGCCTTCCGCGGACTTGCGCGAGTTCTGCGAGGGGGTTTGGCACTCCGGCGGCCGTCAGTTCTGCTCCGATCGCTACAGTGCCCGCGTGGTATGTGGACTAGTCGCGAGACGCCGCACACGATACGGTGAACGCAATGGGGGCGGGCAGCAACAACACTATCCTCTGCATAGATGGCTTGGTGCTGCCTTGCTGGCAACCCCTCGAGGACGTCGGCCTCCCGGAGAGGGTCGGCCGCGGCCTGGTTTACTTCTTCGTCTTGGTCTATCTCTTCATCGGCGTATCTATTATTTCCGATCGCTTCATGGCTGCCATCGAAGTCATCACTTCCCAGGAGCGCGAGGTATCCGTGAGGAAACCCAACGGGGACACTCAGATAGTGGTGGTGCGAATGTGGAACGAGACCGTCGCCAATCTTACACTGATGGCGTTGGGCTCCAGTGCGCCCGAGATCCTTTTGTCGGTTATAGAGATATACGCGAAGAACTTTCAAGCTGGCGAGTTGGGACCCGGAACAATAGTCGGATCTGCCGCCTATAACTTACTCGTGATTATTGCTATCTGCGTCTCGGTCATTCCCAATGGAGAAGTAAGGAAAATCAAGCATCTCGGAGTGTTTTTCGTTACAGCCACTTGGTCCGTCTTCGCTTATGTTTGGTTGTACTTAATTCTATGCTTCTTCTCCCCAGGCGTTGTGGACATATGGGAAGGCCTTTTAACATTTTCCTTCTTCCCATTGACAGTCTTAACGGCATACGCAGCGGACAGAAAAATGTACAAATATATCAAAAAGGACTACAGAATGAACAGACGTGGAGTCATCGTCCAAGCCGAAGGTGACAATTTAGAAATGGGAAATACTGAGCTGCTAGCTTTAGATGACGTTCACGAAGACATAAAACAAGAATACATCACCACGTTGAAAGAACTCCGTCAACAAAATCCTCACGCGGACTTGGGCGTTTTGGAGAAAATGGCACATGAAATGTTATTGAACAGAGGACCCAAATCTAGGGCATTCTACCGCATTCAAGCCACTAGGAAATTGATGGGCAGTGGAGATCTTCTTCGAAGAATTTCCGAAAGGGCCCAGAGTGATTTGAGCGAGGTAAAAGCTGAGCTGCAACGGGAATCTGGTGTGGCAGAATTTAACCAGTCTGCTAGTAAGGTGTATTTCGATCCTTCAAAGTACACGGTTTTGGAGAGCTGTGGAAGGTTTGAAGTTAGGGTGGTGCGTACTGGGGACATCGATTGTTCATTGACCGTGGAATATACTACTGAAGATGGCACTGCTCAAGCCGGAAGTGATTATGTCAAGGCCAAGGGGACTTTGCATTTTGGTGCCGGGGATAAGGAAAAACGGTGAGTTTAAAGTTCTTTTACAAGTAATATTAGATAATGGAATAAGTTCTATGTTTTTCATTTTTTGTTCTTGGCATGCCTGCATTATATTGAATGCTACATTTATTTATTTCGAAATGTTATTCTCATTTATTAATACTTTACTTAGACACATCTTTAGTATCTAATAATCAAATAATCAATTTTTATTGGAACAATTCACTTTAATCGATATATTTTGTGCCACGCCCCTTAATAATTAGGTATTTTGAAATTCAGTTAAATGTTTACAACTAATTGGATTAATATCATAAATAATAATGGACATTGCGTTTTAGTATTAAAAGAAATATTCCCAAATTCCTATTTTTTTACAAAAAATTATTAAATTCTATTAGTTAGTAAAAGCAGGAACAAACTGAATTTTGTAATATTATTTTTGCTCGCCCAGTTATGATTAAGTAAAGATTATAAAATTTAGATTTTTGTTAAATACCAATTTTAATATGAAAACGCCAATCTAGGATAGGTGATAACTTTTCATACATATTTTCATATTAGCAGTATAATAATACTGAAATTTGAATATGAAATATGAAGTAAATATGCTAGTTGCAGTAGGTATTCAAAAAGAAAAAATATTAATATTAATAGATTTACATTTTGAACTATTGTCTTCTTTTAATTTACATCTAAGAGTTAAATTGCTTTAATAGATTTTTTTTGAACGCAAAATGTTTTCTATAAAAATGCATCCATATCTATTCTTGGTTTTCTACCAAATTTCAAAGTACAATATTCAATTACATAAATAATATTTACTAAATGAAAATATAAGATTATATGTATTACTATTTTATTACTTACTGCTTATGGTAGTTTTCGTATGGATTCAACAAGCAAAAAAAAAATCGACCGTGCGTTTTATGAGACCCGTGTGTTTTTATTTTTCTGAAAAACATTTTAGGAGCTATGCGGCGCCATATCAAAATTTACATCGTGACAGCGTTATTTCGAAAATTAAAATACATACTTTTTTTAACCCATTTTGACCCAAATCATCCTATCGAAACGGTTTTTTTTTTCAAAATGTGCAGAATTTCTACAGCTTTTACCTGTTTTCTTTTAGAATTCAAATTGCTTTAAAACTTTCTGAGATAAATGAGAAAACGGAAAAAAGTTTTTTTTTTTCAAAATTGATTTTCTCAAAAAGCCCACCTTTTATTTTCACTAATTTGGATATGTTTTTCCAGGCTAAATAAACTATATACATTTTAGCCAAACGGCAATATACCAACTTTCTTCGTTCGTGAAATACGGTTTCCAAAATGCATATTTTTTTCAAGTGGCCGTCATTTTGATCAAATCATCCTGTAGAAACGTTTATCAGCTAAAACATAGGTACTTGTTTAGTAAAAAATGTTTTCACCCTATGGAAGTTACCAATTAACCGTAAAGAAGATAAGTTTAAAAGTCTAATGGAAGTTTCTTGTGTTTTATTCTTTCTTTTAGCAGAAAAAAATTGTGAGTTATTAATTATACATTTTTTTATTGTTAATATTATAATATAAAATAGAATCGTTTAAAAATGAAAATAAAAGGGATGTTTTTATAGGTCCGTTTAAGAAAACTTCATAAACTTATTATCAACCTATTGTCTCGTTTGCAGTGTATTGAAAACTGAAGGTTTTAGTAAAATAAAAATGTAGCTTAATCTAGACTTGCTGTAATTAGCAAGAGAAAATATATTTTCTTCAGTGTTAAAGGTAGGTAACAAAAAGTACATAAAAAATAGTGAGAACCTTTGCCGTGATTAACATTCTTAAAATAATGTGGACGTAAGTTTCTACGCAACTGACGACAAATAGATGAAAAAAAATGTTTTGGAGATTTTGGAGAATAGAGATAGAGAGATATGTTCTTAAGTCTTCTGAAGAATGATCTGAGGAGTTACTCCTTTAAGAATTTTATACAGGGTACTCATATTTTGCAAAATAATTCTAAAAGAATCCCAATTTTAAATACAAAATATGAAACTGGCGATTATTCTTCCTTGCAAATATGCGCTGACATGTAACATAATGGTTACGATTCGTTATTACTTTTCGTTAAGTTAAACGCATTAAAGCTGCACAGTTTTAAAAAATGATTCATTTTTCTCTGAAAATCAAATGGTAGAATAATATCTCTGAGGCTCGCATAAAACAAGGGTATTGTTTGGAAATGAAACAATAAAAAAATGGCCATATAGACATTTCAATTTTACGCCGTGGAAATCTCATACAATACACACATAATAACGCCGGAAAAAATATTTACGTCAGTTATGTGACGTCAAATCCAGTTGTGTTATTTTAACGAAAAGTTGGGAAAATTTATCTACATAAATTATAAAGGTGCTAGATTTTGAAGTTGTGAAATGATTAAAATAACAGTAACTAACTGAGCAAATAGTAAAAGCAATAATAAAATAATGGAAATATTCTGAAATAAGCCACAGTAGGACTTAAGAGATAAGAAGGTAATATATCACATGGAAACCTAATGTTAATATGAGTTGCCCGTAAAATTTAAAAGTTATTTAGTATTAAACAGTTAAAACATATGTAATTTCCATAGTGTTAAGATGGGAAATCAACTGAAGCTTATAAAACTTATTACAAAGCTAGCAATTAAAGGTTATATGAATAGGGAGAAAACAAGAATTCTTAAGTACATTTTTATGAAATTGTAAAGGTTCGTCTTCATTTTAAATAATGTATTGTTGCACATAATTCAGTTAATATGGAACCAATAAGATACAACTTCATTAAATCAGTTTCCATATTGGGTATACACAAAGAAACGAGAGATTACAATATTTTATGTTGTTTTAAATAAGCTTGCTTGAATTAATCGAAAATCTACTAACTCTAAAAATGTTCATTTTGTAAAAAAATATTGGAACCTTTCATTACAAATGTAATTTTAAATACAATGAAATCATTAAAAATAAAGAAAAAATCATTATCGTAGTTATTTTGGATTTCTAACGATTTAAAATTGCATTTGCAGTAGAAAAAATCTCCAACTATTTACGTGTGCAAGTTTATTTTTATTATAAAACCACAGACAATATAGCTTCGCTTCAGACCGCTACTGGAATAGGGCAGCAGTTTTAAATTTCCGAATTGCCGATAGAGTACACTAGCAGCAGAATCAAATGCAGCGACCCACATTCCTACGCGTATCCTAGCAACATATAAACAATAGTCTGGCAATGTTGTCACGCGTACTTATGGATTTATTTTGTACACTTTTTTATCAGTGCCTGTTTTTTGCGTTACTCTATTTACTTAAATGTACGATGTAGGTATTGATAAAAATGTTTTAAAGAAACAACGAATACCTATGTAGTTTCATATGATATTCTGCAGCGGTGTCACAGTTAGGTTATTTAATCATAATTTCGTTAATTCGCTACTATTTTCATTTTTTGGTATTGAAATACTGCAGAAAATATATTTCCAAATAAACAAAATTCGTAATGATACTCGTATTTTAAACAGCTGGTAATATAATTTTTTAATATTTGATGATAATGATAATTTTATTTAATATACAAGGTGGCTTATTAGTACGTCGCGGAATGTAGTTACAGGGTTTTTTTTGACATGCACTTATAGGTTTAATAATAATTGAAGATAGAAAAAATCTTTTAAATACAATTGTACAACTTTTCCACTATTTCTTTTGACATTATCAAAATTTGCTAAATTAAATAACAACAAAATACCTACCAATTTTTACAAATTTTCCACATGCAAGTAATTATGATGCTACCGTTGAAAATATGTATTAATTTACTATTTATTGCGTTCAAATTCAGAATTATCAAACACTTCGTCCTGTATTTTTTCTTTCAATACATGTAAATTTTGAGGCCTTTAATAATATATTTTGTTGAAGTGTCCCCACAAAATATATCTAAGGGTCTGAGATCGGGGCTGTTTTATGGCCACCTAAAGTTTCTAATAATATATTTTTTTTTTGTATTCCTTGACGGGATTCTTCCTCCAAAATATAGCCGATATTTCTGAAGAACTTTTGCACATATTGTTATTTGAATAATACAATTCATATTTTGTGCGTAGAGATAAATTGATTTTGTCATCACAGAGGGCTTCTCTCTCTTTTTCTCTGCTGCCTTCAGGAGTTTTTGGGGCTTCCCCGGCATCTTCAGGACACCTAGAGAGGGAGTGTGGGGTAGAGTATGTGGCCTTTTTAGCCTTCGTCATCGAACTATGTCGTCTCAACGTATGAGAAAAAAAAAACAGTTTTTGCTTATAACTCGGAAATATCTGGAAATATAAACAAATCTCCCCTTGGCTCTGAGTAGAACACTTGGTGGGTGAGGTAGGGCGGGGCGTCACAATATATAAAATGAAAAAAAAATAGTTTTTGCTTGTACCTCGGAAATTACTCGAAATATCAAAAAATCTCCCATGGTTCTAATTGGTGATCGAGTGAAAAACGTCCGAAATGCGCATGTCAATAAAAAAAATTCGGGACCGAAGGTATGTGACATCATAGAATAAAAAAGTGGTTATAACTTGGAAATGGTGCGTTAAATCGAAAAAATCTCCCCACACCCATGGTTCTGATTGTCCGTTCTGCGTTGAATGCAAAAGATCCGAAGTCTGTATGTTGAAAATAAATTTCGGAAACAAGAGGTGTGTGAGGTGATACAGTAAAAAAGGTCTTATAACTCGGAAACCGTGCGTTGAATCGAAATAATAATTAAAAAAATCTCCCCACACCTCTGGGTCTGATTGTCCATTCTGCGTTGAATGCAAAAGGTCCGAAGTCCGTATGTCGAAAATAAATTTCTGAAACAAAAGGTGTGTGGGGTGATACAATAAAAGAGGTCTTATAACTCGGAAATAGTGCGTTGAATCGAAAAAATAATTAAAAAAATCTCTCCTACACCCCACGTTCTGATTGTCGGTTCTGTGTTGAATGCAAAAGGTGCGAAGTCCATTATGTCAAAAATAAATTTTGGAAACAAGGGGTGCATGACGTCATATAGTAAAAAAGCCGTATAACTCGGAAACGGTGCGTTGAATCGAAAAAATAATTAAAAAAATCTCCCCACACCCGCGATTCAAATAGTTTCTGCGTTGAATGGAAAAGGTCCGAAGTCCGTATGTCGAAAAACAAAAAAGTTAGTCAAAAATTGCAACAGCAGCAGCGAACGCATTTCTTATCTCTCATTGATTGATGATTTGTGTTTTTTTAAAATAAATTTTGTATTCAACCACCCTTAGAGGTTCCAACAATTTTATTAAATAAAAAATTAAGGTGCTATTCTTAAGGATTTTACATTTTTTCATTTTTTTTTAATAAATAATTACTTAATTAAGTAATTTCATAGTTTTAATTCCAACTTGATTTCTTTTATTTAGCATTTAACACAAATGTCATTTCATTCATTTCCAAACAAAAGTTCCATAACTTTTCAATTACATAATTAAATGCATTTTTATTTGGCAGTTATTAGTTGGCAGTTATTATTTGGCAACAAAACCACCGCTAGAACTGCCTCCTATTACCGAGTAGAAGAGTTACCACGGTAAATTTTACTGCTTGATGCCGGCTAACAAAACCCTGCATCCTTTTTAGGTTGCCATTTTCAGCATTTAGCGCGCGGTCTGAAGCTATATTGTCTGTGATAAAACACAACTCGAAAATTAAATATAATTGTGAATATTGAATAAACAAAATGTGTGAAGGGGTAAGCGAGACCCTGATCTGTATGTGGTTTCCAACCCTTTGATATAACCTATAATATATTTTTCTGTATGATGTCTATTAATATACATTTATATATTTGGTAGTATAAAATACAAGATTATGGTTTTTCACATTATTTTGCTTTAACATTTCTTATTTATTTGATCGTTGGCGTGGAATTAACCCCCTCGTAGGGGTGGGTGTGGATTTAATTTACATACAGGGTGATTCACAACTTATCCAAAAAAATTTGGTTATAGATGCGGCATGAGATATGGAGTCAATATGGTAAAAATAAATTTTGTAAAATCCTTATAGTTTCTGAGAAAAAAATTATGGAAGTTATAGCATATTAAACCACTACATAGCTGGACAACTGTAGTCTCTAGCGTCATTCGCAATACGCGTGGAGAGCCATGTGACTCCTAATACTGAAATCCGTCGTTGCGGTAGTTTTTACCTGTTATCTGTGNGATCTTTCTGCCTATGACAGAGCTGTGCAGAGCATGAAGAATGAGGAGACCTTGACCCCACGGTCAACGACCTTCGGTCGTCTGGGGTCAAGGTCTCCTCATTCCTCATGCTCTGCACAGCTCTGTCATTTATACACTACTAGTACCTACTTACTTTTGATGTAGTTTTCTGTATCTTCCTTACTACACTGGTTTGTGAAAACTAATGTCACAATTTTATGACAGCATAGGTTAAACATGCGGAAAACAGTAACTTTGTTCGTTGCCTTTCACAAAAACGTTCACAGCACGACGTTGGGCGTCACTTTATAGCAGAGCAACCGGGAGCTGCTCGCTAGGGGTCATGGATTGGTTTTGCGAACGTTTAATTGAGGCACTGACAGAACATCTAAATAACTTTATTTTTAATTACAATAATTCTCCAAGGCAACTAAAATAATTTTACAAATAAAACAAATCGCCTTCGATACGTCTCCTTCTGCTACTATCTACTACGCAGCCTAGTTCTTCCGTTGTACTATGGTGGTGCGAAAGGTTTGTTACAAGCTGGTATATCGGGTTTTAGGCTGCGGATTCGGATTTAGCATAAAAAAATACACAAAATCTATGTACTCATGTCTCTGGTACAGTACCTTTTTTTGTGTGGCTGTGTTATTAAGCAACTTCATTTTCTTTTCGTCTATGTACCTACGTATTCTAAGAGATCTCTACGCGTACCCCCTTAAGACATCTTCAGGGGGTACGCACGCATAGCCTTATTAAATACCACTGTTCTAGAATAATATGGCGTATTGCGTAGTAGTCAAGGGGAAGGTAAAGTACTCTCACATATATTCTCTAAATTGGTGAATCCCTCGCGAAACGCTTTTTGATAAAACCTTGGTTCTTTGCAGGATAACCCTGGAGGTCATCGACGACGACGTGTTCGAACCGGACGAACACTTCTACGTGCGCCTTTGCGGAACTCAGCCAGCGGGATGCTTGGGGTCTCCCACATTGGCCACTGTCATCATCTTGGATGACGATCACGGAGGGTTGTTCAAGTTCGAGTCGCAAAATCACGAACTAGTGGAGAGTGTGGGGACGTACGATATAAAGGTTATTCGGTGCTCAGGGGCGAGGGGTCGGGTCATCATTCCTTTCTGGACGGAGGACGGCACTGCGAAAAGCAGCAAAGAGTACGAGCGACAGGAAGGACAACTTATATTTGAAAACAACGAATCAGAGTGAGTGTTTCGATATTTTTTATTTCAATTATTGATAAATTTACACAGAGTGTTCCGCGATGAAGGGGACATTCCTCAGAGAAAGATAAGTAAACAAGTTTTCATAAATTTTAGGTCAGAAATGCACAGTTTCCAAGATACAGAATGTGCAATTTTGATCCGCTCTATCAAATTTCAAGGCGTCGCCGTCGCCGTCGTACGATTTTGATTATTTTATATACAGGGTGGTCCGTAAGTAATGGTCCATAGAGACATACTACATTTTTTACTTCAAAATATTGCGATTGGAGCCAACATGCCTTAATAAAATGTTGATAACAAAAAAGATACAGGGTGTCAAAGTTGGAAATTAAAAATTGAATTTTCGTAATAATTATAATATTTTTGAGTGTATGAACGTGAAAATTTAGGGGTAGATGTTTTTGTATACGAGAAATCATAATTTGTTATCTATTTCGATGTATCTTCTAGAGGGCGCCACATACGCCGTGTTTATGACGTAAATACGAGCATAATTTTTTTATCCACAACGTTAACGCTTCTTTTTTTTTTAAATCTTAAACCTACATTATTTTCGTGAAAAAATGGTATACTTGTCATTAGCTCTAGAAATTGTCCGTTTTCAAGAAAAACGCATTTCAACAATCTGCTGCATGTTTCATTACAGGAAATTTTATCGTAGTGTGCG